TCGGGACGGTAAAAACCAATGGTTGGAAACAATTGATGATATGGCTCAAAATCGTTCTCAATGACTAGCGCAGATGCATCCACTCCTTGTGACTTATGATTTCCAATGAAACTATATTGTTCTTCGTTATTACTATTCCTTTGTCTCACACCTCTGTTTACTGTCTGTATTATGTATTTCTTCTACTTTCTTCTCTTGCTTTGTGTGCTACAAGGAGGGAGTGTGGCGACTTGAACTTCCGCACATATGTGCAAAGTTCTATGTCGAAAACAGACAGATTAAGAGTCCTATTTAGGGCTTCTGATGTTCCTTCTTTATATTGACAGTACTGTCGAGGTTTTGAATTCCCTAGTAGCTAAATTTTGCTTTGACTATTTACAACAATACTACGCATATTTTTTCCTCTTTATGAGTCTTTACACAACAGTTTAGTTGAAAGGGAAACTAACTCAGTAAACTAGAAACACTGGTCAATAACATTTTCAAAAAACCAACGGCTCATTTTTAGCTTAATATTTTGAAACATTTGAAGTAATTTGGTAGACAATGACTATCAGTGGAACCCAATTTGATAGACATTTCTACCTATTCGTGACTCATCATCTGGACGGGCCTGCATTCCACCACAGTGAGTGACAGTGTCCTCCCTGAGACTCGTAGGTAGCCAGCACCCATCGTTACAAACGCCAAAGCATTATCGCCTAGACCACTTGCGCTACGAGAGTCATCTCTTGTGCAACAAGTATCACTTGTTACTTGTTTTTAATTCAGTTTTGATATTCCCGTTGATTAATTGATTGGACATCGTCGAAACGTTCATGCTAGCAGCCGACATGTTAAGAGAGACTGAACATATCTCAGTTCAGTCAATCAATCAATCAATCAATGGAAGAAATAAAGTAATAAGTTATTCCCTGTCGCACAAGATGTGGCTCTACTGCACCAAGTGGTCTGGTAAATAATGCTTTGGCGTTTGAAACAATGGGTACGAGTCTCAGGCGGAACACCATCATCACTCACTGGGGAGTGATGCAGGTACATCCAGGAAAAAGTGCATCTTTTACTGGATTCCACTACCAGTTTCACCACCTATTATTATTATGCAGCAGAGGTACGTTGTCTCTTCTCAACCACCCCTATTTTATGTTCGAGAAATAAGGATAAACTACCTAAATTTGCCTCTTCTATGTGTATCTACCAGTTTGACTGCAGTTGCGGTACCAGCTACATTGGGCGTACAATTAGGCAGTTTCATCGTCGTATTTCTGAACATCATCCAGCGTGGTTAAGCAAGGGACAAACAAGATCTATTCGTAGTTCTATTTTAGCACACCTTGTTGATACTGAGCACAAGGTTGATGTTAATACAGCATTTAAAATTATTTATCGCATTCCTACTAATCTTAATTTTGCTCTATGAGTTCGTCTTCTACATACAGCTGAAGCAATAGGAATCCACCTGAAGAAGCCAAACCTGTGTGTTCAGAAGAAATTTGTACAGCCACTTTCCTTACCATGGCCATCGTTACAAGAATGCATAAACAGGACTACGTCCCTAAACCTTTAAATACTATAAAAATTATAATTGTCCAAATTATTTAATTTTTATTTTTATTTTGACCACTTCATCTTTAATTACGTGTTATCCTTGTAAAATTAATTTATTCTAACCATTTCTACCTTTTAAATGTGTATTGATTTTCTTCGTTAGTTATCAACCCATTGACATTTTGACACTGACTAATTATTGTTAAAAAACATATCAGTGCCACTTGATTGGTAAACTGTTGTGTATTGTAATAAAATTGTTATAAGTGTATATTAGAGTAGAGCCAGAGTGAGATGAGGATCTAATTGAAAAGTAAATATTTCTTCGCTCAATCTTTCTGTTTTCAAATTAAATCCTCAGATATCGTCGAAGCATCTGCACAGGAAGCTGATATGTCAGTTAACAGAGGCCGAACACTTCGGTCCAGTCAGTCAATAGGAAAGTTCAAAGCAATTTAAATAATAATAATAACTTTGAAACATTGTTTGTTTAAAATAGTTCCATTGCAATTTTCATTGTACATTGAACTAAACGTGGCGCTATATATATATATATATATATAAATGACGTAAAGCAACGTGCATTACTAATCAAACCAGCCTACTATATAACACATGAAAAAAGTGATATGCTACAACAATATCTGGAGGTGGGGGTGGTCGGACGCGGGGGGGGGGGGGGGGTTGGATAAATCTTTCTGCTAAATGTCGGCTAACTGCTTTATTATTATTATTATTATCCATGATTGACATTTACACATTTACATAAGTAGTAACGATAGACAGATAGATAGATAATGTTAGCAAAATAAAAGTCTTTCACTTAAACCTACTTCAATCTATTCTCCAAGGGAAACGAATCCTTAACTGTGACTATAGCACAGATGATATATAAGCAGTGCCATGATTAGAATTCATTCATTCATTATCTGTCGGATGCACGAGTGCATATAAAGATGCGCGTGCGTGCATGCGTGCGCATTCATGGTTGCACTCAAGCATAGAGATGAACGCAAGGTAGGAAAGATGATAACAACACCACCAAAAATACTTGAAACACTTGAACAAGTAAACAAAATCTCCTCGTAGACGTTAACTACGCATATATATATATACCACATAGACATCATTCATTATCTGCCTAATCAACTTTAACATTAGTAAGTAATGATGATGACTATTACGAAGATATTATTAACCCAACGCACATATGCACATACGGTCATACACACAAACAAAACACGAGTGAAGTGTACAGAGAGAGAAAAAAGAGATTATCGTATTGCGATGATAACCAAAATCTATATGCACGCACCAGTCATTTTTATTAAAAGCTACCCGTCACTGACATCATTAAGTAGAATAGATCAATCCTAGTAGTGTATGCATATGTGTGTGTGAGGTCAGTGAATAGTGCTAAAAAATATCAACACTTTCACTTTAAATCGACTATGCATGTGAAATGACAGGATTACGAGAGATGTTAGAGAGAGGAAAAAAGTGGTAGAAAGTAATTCCCCCTTTTTATTCAGTCAGAATAGTTAAGTGTGAAAAAATGTACATTTAATAATATACAATTCAAATTAAAATAAGAAGATATCATAAACTAATAATATGATTACAATTTAATTGGTGTATATAGTGACTAGCAGTGGAATCTAGGATGCACCCACTGGGGAATGCAGGTACATCAGATGGCGAGTCCCAAATAGGACGAAATGCGCATCCTGGATTCCACTGCTAGTCACCATACACCAATTAACCTCTAATTACATGCGCAAATATCGTCGAAGCATCTGCACAAGAAGCCGACATGTCGACCTGAGGCCGAGCAATTCGGTCGACGGGAAAATCTAAAATTCAATCAATAATATGATCACGTTTCAAGAATTAATTTGTAGGGATTTCACCTTTGTTTCAAGTTTGATCTCGGATTGATATCAGTTAGACATAAAAACTGAAAGTTGCCTGGAGTTCTAGTGAGTAGTCGGGTTGTGTGAGGACAAGCACTCACCGATGACATTGGCTGGTGCCGAATTATTATATGTTCGAATTCATGCACCCGGGAATTAGGTTGGGTGTCACAATGGCTGAATAGTCTACGAGTTTTCACCTTATAATCGGAAGATCCTAGGTTCGAACCCTGGCGGCGTACTAGTAAAGAATCCCAAACTCGAACTAAACAGCTAGTTTCCCAACGTTCTCTAACTGATATCAATCCATCATCAAACTTGAAGTATGATTACTAGTCACATACATTAGTAGGATACAAAATAGTTTGAAAAGTGTAATCTGGACACAGGCGTCGGTGGCACAGAGGTAGAGTGCTCGTCGACCACGCAGGTGGTCCAGGGTTCGATCCCCGACCACAGACTCACTCTCTTACCTCTCTAAGCCAGTAAAACAATGGTAAAGAGGGAAGGTTGGGCATGAGGCTAGCTAGCAATCCCATCCGGTAAAAATAAACACCACTGCTACAGAAACTTCAAACCTCTAGTTTGAAGCCAACCTATGTTCCACTGGGAAAGTAAAGGAATAGAAAAAAAAACCTGGACACAAGTAAGAAAGAAAACTCGTGACAACATATCTTCAGAGAGAGAGAGAGACGAGAATACATTTCCATTGAAACAACCTATCCATCAAATTAAATCCTTTTAGTATGGATTCAAGTATGAAAACTTTCAGCGACCAACTCACTGACTTTCAATAAAGAAATACAGCAGTTCAATTTGCCACGCTTTGTATACCACACAAAGACAGTACGGAAGGAGAAGAGAATAGTAACATGGAAAAATATGAAGGTTTAATAGATGTGGAAGGTCACAAAGAGTGAAAACATTCGTGCCTTTGAGAACTACTTTTAGCCGTTTCACCAATTGTCTCCAACTACTGGTTCTTATCATTTCGAAGATTCCTACCAGACAGTCTACACCTTCCTACGTGGCTTGTTGGCTCAGTTCAAGTATCAAAGACTTCATGAGCTGATGACAGGTTTTGGTTTGAGTCTTCCCCCTCCCCACTCTTACTTTAACTTAAGGGGCATAGGCATTTACAGTAGGCGAAAATCTTGAAAACAACTGAAACGTATACCTAATCCACTGTTTTATATAAAGGGTAATGACGACAAGAAACCAGTATGCAGTGAAAAGAAAGATTGATTTTGTATTAGGAATGTTATAAATGTGTTGAGAGAAAACATTAGTACAATCGACGATTTTTCTATAAAGCGTCGGTGGCGTAGCGGTTAGGACGCTTGCTGACCATACGTATGGTCCGGGGTTCGATCCTCTGCTGACGCACACCTGATATCAATAGTCAGCCTGTTAAATTTGGGCTACCGATATCACATGCTTAAAATTCCATAGTTGTACCAAAAATACTGTGTGTAATCAAGCTATAATTAAAAAAGAAACAACAACACGAGAATTCACATCAGGAGATCAAAAACTTACTTGAATAGTTAAACGATCATAGAACATATTACGTATACCACCGGTACCGATAACTTCAACAACAAGACGATGAAATTCCCCATGTCTTTCTCGATCTAGTCTGACTAGCGTCATTAACAAACCTGTATCAACAGTGACATGAAATAAATCCATAGAAATATTTGAATTCGCCAAAGAATCTGGCACAATATTCATTGCTTCACCTCTGACAAGTCGAAATGCAACAAAACCGGGGATAGCAGAATCAGGAGTAAGTTGACGCATGATTGGTGCTAACACTGTACTAGGTGGAACATTTTCATATATGGATAAATGAAGTACACTGTCTGAGGCGAAACGAGGCGCTGGTGCGTCAATACCACCTGGACCAGGGACTACATGAATATTTACTTGTGTATGATTGGTTTTTGATACAGGTACGCCTTCATCACTTGCAGAAACAATAAGACGATGAGTTCGAACGAATAGTTTGGAGCTAAGCCCGGAGATAAACTCTCCACCGGTTGTTGTTGAATAGGCATAATTAGGAAGGAGTGATTTGGCTAGTATTATACATCCACTTAATGGTTCAATAGCGAAGAAATCAGAAGTATCACCTGTAAGAAAGATAGAAAGAAAGAAAGAATTAGAAGAGTTAGTTAGTTAGTTACGTGCTGAATTGATGTAAATATTCCTTATTTATTCAGGCAAAATGTTATGAATTGTTTTGATAAGCCTGGTTAATAAATCAACACAAAATGTTATTCATATAAACAAGCAAACTTATTATAGTTTAAAAGGTAGATGATGATGCATGCTAACTAAGTGTTAATAGAGGTCATCCTGCACTTACTGACCTGGATAGTCTGTGAATCATAGGCTTAACACAAACTGTCAGAAATGACCGCACTATATATATATATATATATATATATATATATATATATATAGAGAGAGAGAGAGAGAGAGAGAGAGAGGGAGAGAGAATTAGGGGGAACATTAGCTTCGATTTCTGCAAAAAAATCCTAAGCATATAATTAACCTCTAATCTTCTGACATTCTGTATAGTATTTTCAAAACCGCTCTTAGTCACAACAGCCGGTTATCAGAGAAATCTAGAAATCTTTAGCCTTAGTTGTGAATATTTCCGTAGTTTTAATGTATTCAGAACGTTGAGTAGAAGAATTACGTTGGAAAAGAATTAAGGTTGATTAAACGAAAACTTATTATCAGTTCCTCATAAAGTTGTAGAACTGCTCTGTCGAGGACTCCAAGTTTGAGGGTAGGCGGAGAAATGGCTGAGTGTGGTAACAAAATCTTAGCATGGATACAAAAGACTTGTGTGACTTGTCTCTAGGTTAGACGTGACATCCTACTACCGATCTAAGCATACGCGTGTAATGTGCAGCAGTTCTCTGTGAGGTATGACAGGTGAAAGTGGAAGATTTGAAGAATGCGGGGGGCCACCAACCAAATGTGTTTTCATTCTATCTCTCGTGTTAATCAGTATAATTATGGTAAGCAATACTGAAGTTCGGCGTAGTGTGTAAGGCGAGAACGGGAAATCAATCGACGAGGTTGTGAGGCTACGTCAATTTAAATAGCTAGGGCGTGGTGTTACGCATTCCGAGCCATCGCGTTCCTCAATGACAAATGTTAGCTGACATATGATTAGGTTGGAAACGAGTTCGGAGGAATGTAGACTGCCTAGTCGGGAACCTGGAGATGATAAGGACCAATAGCTTGAGACTACTGGTGATATGCCTGTAGATCCACCCACTCTTTGTGATCCTCCACATCGATTAAACCTTAATGCATTTCCATGTTGCTGTTCTTTCTTCCTCCTGTATATTTCTGCTCAGTAAAGTTCTTTTAAATCTCTTTGTTTTTTCTCTACCTTTGTGTGCTGTATGGGGTGTGGCAATTTCATCTGTGTACATCTGTGCAACGATCTACACAGTAACTCAATCAATCGATATAAATGTTATTTTCGGAGACTTATCACTAGTTTACAAAGTACCTGTTTATTCGATACGGAATAATAATGATATAAAACAATGGAAGAATGTTTATCTGCTTGAAGTTGTCGACAATTTCAGCAATCTAGGTAGTTTGTGTGAGTGCTGGTGGAGGTGTGATGGATGAGATCTCCAACAACACACAGTGAAAGCTAGGGTGATATACGCTAATTTTGGCGACCTCTGGTGTCGTCAAAACATCAGCCAGAATGTCAAAAGTCGGGTTGACAATCCTTCGGTGATCGTAGTCTTGCTCTACGCCTGTGAAATCTGGCATCTCTCTGCTGAGGATGTACAGCAACTCTCAGTATTCCATCATCTCTGTCTCCATAGATTTGCTTGTGCCCGATGGTATCACCACATGAGTAATTCTGAGGGCCAGCAGCATGCATTTGGGTACGACAGAGATCCCTATTCATTGAGTGTCGTCATCTGGAAACACCGACTTCGGTGGCTTGGACATGTGATACGAATTGATATTCCAGAGTCTTCTTTACCTGGTCTCTGTTCACTAGCCCTAGGACTGAGTGGAAAAAAGCGGAGAGGTGGTCAGTCTGTGGCTTGGCATCGTGGAATGAAGGATATTTGTGTTAGTTTAGCACCAGTCGACATATCACGACCCCCTGGTTGGGGTCCGAAAGATAATTCTGAATCGGTGGGCCACATTGCACTGCGTTTGTGTTTCAAATAAGTAAATAAAATATCCCATAATTGTGAACAGTCAGTAAGAGTTACAACAAATCAACGAAATATGAGTCGTTAACCGGATGAAAGAACAATACTGGATAATGGCAAAGGGGAGAAAAACAAGTATACTATCACACACACACACACACCAATGGACTTAGAAGTGGGAGCGACAGTTACTGCCAAAAAATGTATCCTGCAAAGAAAGGCATTTTTATACTCACCTTTTACAATGCTATATATGATTTTTCCATTTCCACCAGAATCTGGATCATACGCTGTAACACAACCGACTGAACTATTCACAGGATTCAATCCTGATATATAAAATGTAAAACTGCCCAGATTTTGAAACTCTAAATCATTGTCTAATACATTGATATGATGACTTTCCAATTTTGAAGGGATGTATAAACCAAAAAATTGTGGTGCATATTCATTTGCATCTAATATATTGACATGAATAGTTGCATACGATGTATATGAACGTAAACTGGAATAACGGACAGCAATCAGCAGATAATGCTGTTTAATACTTTCATAATTCAATAGTCCACTGACGCGTAGTTCACCTTGAATTAAGGAAAAAAAACAGACAAGAAATTAAGAGGAACAGTCATTGGACATTGAAGAAACATGTCTTTCGTGTTGTACAACGATCTACATTCATAAAAAAACAACTTCTGTTTACATCATTCTCTTTTCGACACTACAAGATACCTGATAAGTTTATGTGTCAATATGCAAAAGGCATCAGCGGCGATTACCTTGAAAAAGATATTTTAGCACTACTGAAAAAAAGGATAGGATAGTTGCAGCAGTTGAACCACACAATGCAGACGCTATTGAGATTAGATGTTTTGGCCCAGTGTTGGTTTGAAGTGATCTGATTGGTTACAGGTTGGATTACGAGTTGACATCAGTTAGAGAATCCCCATTTGAAAACCAGCGGGAAGTACTGGACAGTTGTTTTGCTCTAGATTGAAACTCTTCAACAGCACGCATTTATTGGAGTTCGAACCCTGAACCTATAAGTTACGAGGCGAGCTCACAGACCATTCACATTCAGCCAATGGGACTCGATCCCATGGCCAGTTCATGAATTCCAACTTCTGCTAACTCGCGATATACATAACGCAACCGCCAGCCAATGTCACAGATGAATACTTGTCTTGATGAACACCGATAAACAAAAGTATTATTGTTATCTTTCTTATTAAAAACACCTCAATATTTTGGGCATTTCCCACCGTATGAGTTGAACAGAGAGAGAGAGAGAAAAGCAAAATCGCCAAATATGAAGGAAGTAAATTTAAGTTTGCTACAGATTTTTGTGTACATTCGCTGACGTCTTTTTTTTTGTTTGTTGGTATAAAAAGCACAAACCTATAATTTACATAAATCAATACTTAAATTTATCAAGCTTTTTCATCTAGATATTTATACGCGTAAACCAGTCAGCATCCTATACAACCGCATTGTGATCGGTTTTACAATAAACACCACTAGATTCCAAAAGCGTAACAACTAAATGGGGTGAGACGGTAACAAGTAATCAGTTACCGAGGAGGAGAGGCAGAGAAGTAATCACAGTTACTACTAAAACCTATTTCAAGGGGATGTTCTTCCACTTGATTAATTAACACACACACACACACACAAGCTTCCTGATCAGTTCACAATGATAATAATAAGGTTTTCTACACGAATAGCAACCGTGAACACTTCGTCGTTCAACACACAGAGGAATTCACACCGTAAAAGTAACATTATCGCCATTCGAGTATATTCTGTAGAAATCTTGTGAGATACAATTTAACCTTACATATGACTACAGGCCTTCATGGCATTTATTCTTTCATTTATCACTGTTTGAACAACAGATCATTTTGCACACAATTTCACATTGTGGCGGAAGCTAAGTGCAATCGACAGTTACGTCATCAAAACTGTTCTTTTTCTAAAAGTATTATTCCCTGAGTAAAAGATAAGGAGATCATTGGAGTGACATCGCGGGCATTGCAGGCCCCCGAATGGGACAACCAGAAGGGAGAAATGAAAGCTTATGGGAAGTTGCAGAGCCAGCTAAAAAGAACTCCGGGGAACAGGGTAAAATGAAGATGTTCTGTTGAAGTCTTATGTGTTTCATCACCGAAAACCCAATGGAATTATAAGTAAAAGACAACTGATATATAAATTAAGAACACAATATTCAGCGAAGAGACTCTTTTCAACGAATTTATTATCGAGCTGTACAATCGTGTATATATGGTTTTTTAGGAAAATTATATCCGGTGAGGGAATTAGGTCAAAGGTGTGAATACATGAAAAAATAATATTACAATATTGAATTCTATCTTGTCAAATTTCATACCATGTTATGTAACATTTTATATTCGTCTACTAATCCTATAATCACTCAACATCAACAACAAAATCCGGATTTCCAATACAAACGTCAAGTCAGTTCTTCTATACGGACCAGAAACTTGGCCAGTGTGTCACAAAGAATATTTCCAACAGCCTGTTGCAGACCTTTATCAACAACTGTCTTCGTTCTATACTCAAGATCAGATGGCCGGAAAGCACAAGAACCAACAAGAAACTATGGGAACAGACAAAACAAGAACCAATCGCTCAACAAATATGCAGGAGAAAGTGGAGGTGGATTGGACACTCGCTGAGGAGGCCACTGGGTGACATCGCCCGTCAGGCCATAGCTCGAGTGGAACCCGAAAGGGAAGCGGCGAGTGAGACGACCAAGGATGACATGGAGGAGATCATGTGAATAGGAATTGAAACAGTATAGACTAACATGGATGCAGGCGAAAAGTACAGCAGAAGACAGAATCAAGTGGATACGTGCAGTTGAAGCCCTATGTTCCGCTAGGAACCCAAGGGAACAATAATAATAATCCTACGATTATGTACTCCTTTCCAAAATCTATACACCTTATGTATTATTCTATATATGACATTAATTATTTTGCCACTTGACATTAAACTATGATTATAACCACAAATGTTTTAATTGTATCTCATACTGCTATTTTTATTTCATGTATTCACACCTTTGACCTAATTCCATGACCGGATATAATTTTTTTTTAAAAACCATATATATATATATACATATATATATATATATATATATATATATACGATTGTACAGCTTGATAATAAATTCGTTGAAAAGAGTCTCTTCGCTGAATATTGTGTTGTTAATACTACAATGGAATTATTCAATTATTGATATATAAATCCCTAATATCCCTTTCATGATTAACGACAATAATAATAACATCTTGATTCTGGACAGTAATCATAAATTGTACAGAAAGAATTTTCACAGGAGTGTATTGCATGATATTTCCTCTCCTCGTACAATATCTTCAAGTAAAATGTTAATTAATTGACAGTATATCCTTCCTGTGACTCTCAGCTGAAGCTTAAACCATTCCATTATGATATTTCTACTTTGTCTCCTTCAAGAAATCCACGATATCTAGTTGAAAGACAATTGTAAGATGTTCAGAGGTACATTTCGAGACTCAAGGACATAACTGAAGAACAGTTATCTCATGTTATATTGGAACACGTTGCCACACCCACAATCAGACATCTTTCCTCCAGTTTAGTAGGCACTTGCGAATCTGAAGCTTGTAAACGCTTTAAATACACACAAGAGTAGATAATACCACTATTAGAGGTCATATATTAATCGATTAAAACAAACCGAACGAGATAAAATAAATGCCATAGAGAGAAGGAAGATTTTCGTAGCCCAGGTTTTAAGCAGCCCACCAATGATTGGCTAATGTTCTTCTAAAAATAAACATTGTAAAGGTACAAAGGTCACATCGTTGCAGGCATAAAAAAACGGTTACAGGGCTCTCTAACAAACACCGAGATAGGAAATATAAGAAAGAATTTAATGTGCATCATGTGTAGATTAAAAACAAAAAACCGAGAAAATGGCTTCACACCTTTAAATCATAAAAAAGAGTAAAGAAGAAGAAGTTCTATCCATCGAAATCAATTCAGGAATGATTAGACACAATTATCATATCCAAGTATTGGTTTGTAGGGATTTGGTTGACTGGTTACAGGGTTTCATCATGAGCTGGCATTGGTTAGAGAACCAGTGGAAAACCTCGAAGTACTGGACAGCTGTTTCGTCCTAGTTTGGGACTCTTCAGCGGCACGCCCCCACCGGGGTTCGTGAATTGGCAGAAGTTAGAATTCATGGGCCATTGAATCGGGTCCCAGTGGCTTAATGGTATACGAGCTCGCCTCGTAACCAGAAGGTCCTGAGTTCGAACCTCGGTGGGTGCGTACTGTTGAAGAGTCCCAAAATAGGACGAAACAATTATCATAATTTTTCACCATTGTAACTATAGTTTAACAAATACTGTTCTTTACACATATAGAAAGAGAGAATACATGGTTTTGTTGTTGCGCTTTTTATCCAGTGATCGAAAAAAAGGATAATGTCAATGAATAATGTTAAAATATAACAAAGAACAATTAAAGGAATATAGATGTATAGATAATAATTTGGAAAATTTATGCATGTCAATCAACGCTAATAATGACGCCAGAGTTATCCACATCAGAAGAAGTATGAAGATATTCATCAGAGAAACATCAGGTGGAAATTGACACAGCAATAGTGTAATAATTAAATCTCGATAGTTGTATTATATTTAGAACATGTTAACAAGACAACTTATCCCCTTATGGCTTTATTGTAAACAGATACACACACAAAAAGGAACTTCACAAGGTTTATACAACATGTGATAAAGATCGCCTCGGCATCATTTGAATAACTTGAAGATAATGAAAATGCCTATTACAGTAGAGTAGAGTAGAGCACTCAGCAATCACGGCACAAATGATCCGGGTTCGATATCCTACCGATGTACTTCCAGGCCCTGCTTAGCCAGAAGTAGGAGGGCTGATTGGCTGTGAGGTTAGCCATCCGAACCAGCAAGGAAAAAAACACTTCAAAAGTCAAGCTTGAAGCCCTTTGTTCCATTGGGAATAATAATAATACAAAATAAAGTTACTCATTGATTGGACACTAGTAACTAGTGTGATGTGTCTAGTCCTCCTGTCTTTGGTGCAGACTGAATTTTATCAGTCAAGTTGGCAATATGGTCACCATCAGTCAGTTTAGGTGGCTCGCCATCACGGTGCACTTTGAATAGTTGATATTAGATGGTTGGAGGCAATTGGCAGCAAGCCCAATCTGGCCTAGATTTGGTGATAGTTAGCACTCACTCATCAGTCAACAAGGCGTATCTACAACCTTGAAGGAACTCAAGTCCCTTCTGAGATTCGAATCCCCGGGACATCCCAGTGCTGCAGTCAGTCAGAGACGTTACCGCTGAGCTATTCGGGCTCAGAAAGGAGATGAATTCCTTCAACGTTGTAGATACGCCTTGCTGATGAATGCCAACTAGCACGAAAAGTAGGCCAGACTGGGCTTCCTGTGGCCGATTGCCTCCAACCATCTAATAATGTTACTGATGCTGGCTGGTCGATCTCGATTGTAGCGTATTTCAGT